CCTCCTGGGGCCTCTCGCTGTGCGGGAGCTCTTGGGGGTTTTTGGTTTCGTTTAACGAAGAATGACGCCCACCTTATTTTTACAGGCAAAACCACGGCAAACAAAGAAAAACAATCAGGCCTTGGCTGTCAAAGTGTCTGTCAGCGGGGAGCTGTGTGCTCGACCCTTCCCACCACGGCTGAGCTCGTGACTGGCATCGCAACTGCCACTGCCAGGAGCCTGATACCCTGCGGACTGCGCAGAGTTGGTTACCTGGGGACACCAGATACAGCCTTCATCAGGGTCCCTGCGCTATAATTTACATTACATTGTAATTTCATTACTGCAGTACGTGACTCTGGTGTGCATTACTACGAATCCACCATGATAAATTCTGGGAACAAGGGGTGGACAGGATGGTCACTATTTAGCAAACAGACAAGGCAAGAGGAAAGACAATTTCGTAGAGAATTTCTGATCTGGTACTTGCTTTCCCTGATCTTTCTAGTCAGAGATTTTCACAGAACTCTCTCACTGCAACACCCTGGGGCAGAGAAAATGAAAACTCCCATTTACCTTTCAGCATCAGACTTGCCATGTACAACCAGAAAAAAAAAAAATTTAAGTCACCTATGAAATTAGGAGACTCAGTGAAAGTCATTCTGAATTCATAGCATAGTTCTAAGGTATTGTAGGTTTTCTTTTCACCCCAACTCCTAATTAATCACTCACCTTCAACAAAGCAAAAATGCATTAGAACCGGATGGCTTTTTCACTCCAACCCATAGGCTAATTAATCCCATTAATAGAAAAAGGCACATTGTTGTTCTCCTGAACACAGCCCAGCCTGGTCTCCGAGTCCCAAGACTATAAATATTGCGAGCAATGACCACACAGGTAGGTGAGGCAGTCTCAAGGAACAGTTACACAAACTGCTCTGAATAATACAAGCAGGAGCAGTGACGGAGAAGCCATTTCCAACAGTCAGTGGAGGTGTTGCTGTTCTGGCATAAGCAGTAAGAGAATACTGCAGAGCCAGGGATTTATGTTCCCTTACTGTGAGATCAGTGTTAAGGTCAGAAAACTTCTCTGCTAAAAGTCTGGAAAAAGATAATACAGTGCTTTATAGCACTGTCACTCACTCACCCCTCGAAGGCTGAAGGCTTTCAACTTTCACATTCATTTATTCTTTATACTATCAAAGCAGACTGATGGTACTTCTCTCTCTGCAAGCGTGTGCAAGACAGGGCCTCGAATGTGAAAACCACTGTTGCGGGTAGGAACCCCTGGTTTTGCTGCAGTCTGTAGTTAGCTCCCCAGACAGCTGGGACGAACCTGGAAGAAGAGATGCGTGCCCGA